TTCTTCTTTATTTCGATTGCTTCACCTCTCAAAGTTTATAAGTGTTTCTCAGCTCTATTCATTCAAGACTTTTTCAGAACATTATCTCGACCGCTTTTTGACGAACGCAAAATTTAAGGACTAAGGCGAATATGTAAACCTCAACACAAGAGTTCAATTTTTAAAACGACAAATGTTTTTAATTATTTCCGTTCGCTTTTTGTTTGCAGTTTTGCTTTTTTTCCGTTTAAAACACACAAAATAAATTTAACAAATTTTGGCTATTTCCGTTTTTGTATTCTTTTTTTGTTTGTTTGGCTCTTGGCTTTTGGTTTTGAATTTTAGTTTTCACTTCTGGTGTTGCATTTTCTGTTTCGTTGCTCTATTTTCTGTTTGTTCTTCTGTTATCGGTTTCAGTTACGGGTTAATATCTCTTGAAGTCTGCTATTAAGTTGGGCTTGGAGGCGGGTTTTAAGGCTATTTCTGGTTCTGATTCTGTTTCGATTGGCTTCGGTTTCTATTTATGCTTGTTTTGTTCTGTTGCTGTTGCTGTTGCTATTTCGTGTGGCTATTTAAGTTTGTTTGCTTTAATTTGGTTTGCTGGTTTGTTGGGCGTTTCCTTTTGGTTGTGTTATTTCTTATTTGTTGCGCTTTCAATTATTTCTCGGTTTAGTTTATTTAATGATTCTCTTAATTATGGTTACGATTTTTTTATATTATTGCTTTTACTCTTGTTATTTGTTGTTCTTTTAATTTGTTTGATTTTGTAGTTTTTATCGGTTGGTTGTTTGTTGCAGTGGTTGTAATTGTTGCTGTTATTGTTGTATTTGTTGTTGCGGTGCTTGTAGTTGTATTCCAAATTTTGTTGTGAATTTTGTTTGTTAAATTTTGAGAAACTAACTAAAAATCACTTTTTGTTTTTTCATTCAACTGAAAGTTAACTTTAATTTGTTGTACTATTTTCATTTGTTGTTGTTGTTGTTGTAGTTGATGTTATAAATTTTTGTTGTCGTTAAATTGGTTGCGTCAAATTATACTCAAATCATTAATAAGAACGTTTAAAATAAAAAGTTAACAGATGGCAAATAAGTTATTATCGTTGTCGCATTTTATTTTATTACATTTGTATTATATTTGGATCTTTGTTCCCTTTCGTTTGGTATTATACTGACAGTATTATAGTGATTATATTATTATTTGATTAAACAAAAAATATTTCAGTAAGTATCAACAACGTGTTAACGTAATGTTTAAAAATGTTCCAAACAGTCAAAAAGCACCTGCAAAAGAAGAAGATGCCTGATTAGTGGCTTTTTAAGTAAGGCCTACCAGCAGTTTTCGGCTGCTATTGCTTTTTTAGAGTCTTTAAACGTTTAATCCGAAAACTGCCGACGGCATTTAATAAAACAAATTGAGTAAGATAATAATACAGCCAAAGAAAACTTAGTTCATCGTGGTTCTTGGTTCTGGCCTGCTCATCTTTAGATATCCCGCATCCTGTTGCCTAATAAAACCAACACATGGCATACACTCACACCCACACCCACACACACAACATCACCGGCAGACACCGAAACAAACAACCGCAGACACATCTGCACCCACAAGCCAAAAACACCCCATCCACTTCTCCTCTATTCCTAACCCTAGACAGCAGTGTTTTGTATAGGGGCACGCATTGTCTAAACATCGGAGAGGACCTCAAAGAGAGACAAGAGAGAAAGAGAGGGGGCGCAAGGACAAAGCCGGAAAGCTGAAAATATGGGAAACTAAGCGAACAACACAATTTTCAAGTTCAAAACGCCGCCAGATGATAGAGGGAAGTCTTCGATAGCATTGGCCCCGCGAGGGTGGGTCATCGTGGGTGGTAGGCGCCAAAAACAATGCGAAACCTACTCAAACTAAGCAAAAAAGGCAACTTCGATACGATCTAATGCAGACAAAGCAGTCGAAAAAGCAGTGGCAACGCCAGCTACATAAAAGTTGAAAGGCGGTGACTGCACTTCGTGGGGCAGAATTATGCCCCCAGATAAAACGGCTTACTTATTTTTGCCATGGAACACTACGGGTAAGTTAATCAACCGTCAGCACCGCCGCTTCCACCGGCCAAAAACTGAAACACAAAAGTTCCGAATAGTTGAACAGAAATCGTTGAACCGCATCGGGGAGAGTCAATAGCTCTGCTTTTGGGCTGGGCAAACTAACGAGTCCATACTGGCAACGAATTTGCCCAACTAATAGCAAGTTATCCAAGTGCCTTCCCACGATTCTGAAAATGTCTGGTAAGTATTCCTGCTTGGCAGAGCTTCAGTATTTTCGATATTCACTTGGTTTTAACATTATTTAGTTTGTTAGCTTTCGATGGGAATTGTTCTAAAAACAAATCACAAATCATGTCTCTCGCAATCACAAGGTGGGCAAAGTTGAAATCACTTTTTCTCCCGAAAAGAATGTACAGTCATACTTCCCCAACTTGAACAATAAGCAAGATATTTTATTTCAAAACTCTATTGCTAATGAAACAGTTAATTCGAGTAAAGCTGCCGAGCTAAGTCCAATTCAGGTCCAAAAAATAGGAAAAAACACTTTGAGAAGCTGAGGTATAATTCCAGAACCCAAAAGATTGGGTCGTAGCCTCCGAACCAGAACAGAAACCCGGAACTACGTTTTCTTTGGGCGCGCGAAATGGCTGGAAAATCGCGCGAACACTCCAAGAGCCAGCGAGCTCCGCGAAACGCACCGAAAACGGCCAAAAAGATGAATATGTGCAAAAATCTTTTGCATACGCTCAAGAACCCATGAAAGCGTCGACGGCCTAGCCGAAGTCGCAGTCGCGGTCGCTGCCAGCGTCGACGTCGACCGCAGCAGGAGCCGTGAGAGTTGAGAGAGCCGAGAAGAAACGGAATAAACCTTCTTAAGCGGGCGTGGGCGGGGTAGGAGGGGTGAGTGCCAGTTGGCGGACAAAGCTTTTTACGGACACTCGCGCTCAGACAACAAAAACGAAGCGAAAATTTAACGAATCGAGCCCAAAAAGACGACGAGAATTTGGCCCCACGCCCCATCCCACCGCCAGAGAGTCGCTACGCGAGAGAGACAAGTGCTGCGAGAGGAGAGCGCTGCTCAAGCACAAGACTCTGCCCGTGTGTGTGTGCGAGATGGACAGAGAGCAATGGCACTGAGAGCGAGACAGCGTGAGGGGGACAGGGCACAGCACCAGAAAATCAAAAGCAAAGCAACAAAAAGCGTCGGCAAAAAGTTCGCAAAAAGCAACTTGGCGGTGGAGGCGTGTGTGGATATGGATGTGCTTGTGCTGTATCTACATCTGTGCACACAGATACTCTCGTCCGTGTGCATCTGGACGAAATGTGTGCGTGTCGCGCGACTCGCATAAGTCCCGCGGTCGACGCACGCGTCGCTGCTACTGCGACTTTGCGTCGCGTGCCGCTGCAGTTGAAATTGCGCTGGCCGTTTTCGGTGCCCGTGCTAAGGGCTAAGCCGGCCATGGGCGGGAGAGGTAGAGGAGGAGGGGCTGTGTCTGGTCACCAAGGGAGTTAGTTTAACGCCTTTCCCCGCGGCTTGCCGTCTGGCGTTGTGGTTACTTTTGGCGGCAGCGCGTGAAAGTGTTACGATTTTGAAACTGGCCGAGCTTAGAAGTGGGTAAATCAGTCGCATTCGGTGTGGGTCGGGAGCAGAGGCAGGGTTTTGAGGCGCCAAAATTTAAGTCCTGCATTTAAAGCGATACTAGCAACCATTTGAACTAATCAACTGCAGTCAAACATCCACAAATCCAAGCATTTTTGAGTTTTTCTGTTTAATTTAGATAGAAATATAAAATTATAAACCTACTTTAAATAACGCAAAGGTTGGAACACAGAGTTTGCGAAATGTTTGACTTTTTACAGAATATATTTTATCCCAAAAAAGAGCTGAAAATTCGTTTTAATAAGTGTGTCTCAAAAATCAGTATAAAACTATAAGTATTACTTGTATGTCAATTTAAAAAAAAAACAACTATACGTTTTAGTTTCATTTCTATACCACAGAGTCTAAGCTGTGGTCTAAGACCTTATATTTAAGCCTTATGTTTCTTTTTATACTTTCTTGGTGTTAATTTAATACTTATCTTACTAATAAATTTTTAATGATAGTTTAAAATTCATGTAAAAATTGTTTAGTTTCTTTGAAAATTTTACATTCATATATAAACCGGATATATTATGGAAGCTAGACTGTTTTCCCCCGGCTGATTCTACTACTCATTGAAAACATATGCCAAATTCTATATATAAACTTATCTCCTTCGGCTTCGTGGGCTTAATCAGCCGCCGTTGTTGTTGCTTTTGGACTACGGGGGGCTCCGTCCTATCCGCTACTATCAGCAGAAAAACAAAAGTGCTCACTTATAAATATTTATTAAAAACAAAATGATAAAGCAAATTGAATAGCAGCAAAACAACAAATATAGCCGAGGGTACAATGGCAAATGCTAACCGACTAGTCTAGTCTACTAGTATGTTACTCTGATCAATTTAAGCTAACTTCGAAATTTCGACAAGAACAGGATGTTTGGTCGTCTATTAGTTCGCGACATCGTCCCTCCTGCGGGAACCCTTCTGCCCTGCAAAACTCTCCTTCATGCTGTCCACTATCTTGATGATGTGCTGTTGGTGCTTCACAATTCCTTGCACTTTGAAAGCGGTCTGCTGAAGAGCTGAGCTGTGGGCGTGTCCGAGGCCGGTCGAGCTGTCGACCTCGGTTAGATCGGGAGACTTCTTTCCACTGCAGACAAGGAAGCTGGGCTTCCCGCAAAGGCTTAAGTCAGCATCCCCGGTCTGACTGTCGCTGTCTGCTGGTTTCTTGGGCAGTCGCTCTTTCTGCTGGCAGCCCTTAAGCGTGAGGCCAGAAATTTCGGATTGCGATTTACTCATTGTGATGTGTTCTAAACTAGTTGTTTGACGCAAGTAAACTGACATTCTTTATTTGAATTAGACATTTGCTTGACAAGCACTGGCTATGAGAGACTATTTTCTGATCAGGATGGGACAGCTGTTGCTAATGGTCAAACACAGGGACCTCACCTTCCTGATTAAGCTGTACAGGCGGACTCCCATCTTCAGACCGCTCCACCTTCCCAGGAAGGAATCCGACCCAGATCGATGATCATATAAGCCAAGATACGGTTGATTTCCCCGCCTGCGATAAAACATTTTCCAGCCGCACATCTCAAAATACTTTGTTGGGTGGATTTGAGCGTTTAGATGTGTTAAGGGAGGACGACCTCGATAAAGAAAGCACCTACAACAGCAGGGCAACTTTGAGTTGGCTCTAATGGCGGGAGTGCAGTTGGAAGTGGACTCAGAGAAAGACGGCAAGTTCGACGACCACGAAGATTGGCTGGGTTGCAATGGATACGTTCAGTACGAGGTGTAAGGTGCGGGGTATATGAGATTGCAGAAGCAAGTTAAGGAGGATCGGGGGCAGGTAAACGCTGTTGGGACTAGAGATGCCAACACCACTTTCATGGGCCTTCGGCTCAATTCTGGGCTTAGAGTCTCCTTCGCCAAACGAGGCAACGGCGCCGTCTAAGCGTGAAGAGTGGCAACGCCGCACGGCACAACCAACAATAGACAAAAGACACTCTCGTTTGGCGCCAATACGAACGACAACAATGTAAAACACTAGAGCACTCTGCTGAGAGGGCCCGTCAAGTGCGGAGAGAATGAGAATCCGAACCCGAATCGGCAACGGGGCTGGGGGCGGGGCGGGGCGGGGCAGTGGAGGGTGAGCACAAAAACATTTGCCGGTTGCTTAGTTTTTTTGCCGGTGCAAAAAGTCGACTGCGAGAGAACGCCGAAAGCTTCCACTCTCCCTCCGATTTAGTTGAGATTCGCATTCGCGTTCACATTCACATTCCGATTTTGACCTACCCTCCACCCCTCCTGGCACTCTGGTACCTCACCCGGCGGTGAGGTCTAGTCACACACGGCGTATACATAATCCAAATAAAGAACAATCTTCGAATAGTTGTTGCTCCCTCAAGTGACATTTTGCTTTTTTAGCCTAAACATGTCTCCCCCAGGGTTTGGCATCGGGACAGGGACAATGTAAGAGCGCCCTTCTAAACCACTTTGTTTTTGTTTGCTTTCTCGTGGAAATGGCCAAAACCAATGGTGCACGTACTGCCACGGAGAATGCTCTCTGTTTTTGGGTCCGTACCTGCTGATAAGGGCCCTTTCCGCTCTACTCCGCTCTGATATGCTCTAATCTTATCGCGAGCGAAAAGCGGTCTTTTTACTACCCAGTGCGAATTCTGTTCGCCTTTTTGCCAAAGTAGTTAACTCAAATATTAGGTCACACAAAAAGCCGGTTTGTGTTGTATTCGGCTTGTTCTTGTTGTTGGCGCTGTTATTTGTGTGGAGCTTGCATATGTGGGTGAGTTTGGCTCATGTGTGAGCTGGCAAGCCGGTTTCGGACGTTGTTGCTTTTTGCGACTTTGTCGACTTTGGCTATGTAAATTTCAGCCGGTCCACTCCCGATGAAGCATATGCTCCAAGTCAACAAAAAGAGCATAAAGAGAAATGGAACGAAGTAAAGATGAATTTGGCAGGCAGAGCAAACTGTGGGGTTTCCCTGATGGCCTTCATCTGAATTAGGAACTATGTACATACTTATATGGGCAACAATATGTAAACTACAAGTTCACGAAGGAGGTGCTTATTTTTCTTGACTTTTTCTAATTTAAATTAAGCCCAAGTAAAGTTTTTTAGCACTAGTCAACTAATGTTTTTATATGTTTAAAGTAAACAAATTTGTAATATACATAATTAGAGTGGCGAACTAAATGTTTTATCTCTTAAAAGAGCAATACACACCGAAAGGCGAAATAATAGGAAAATGTGCTAAATTTGTATACATTTGTTTATATCTAGAAATTGCGGAAACGATGAGACTCAATGGAGGGTACTTTAATGAATACTAAAATAAATAATTTTTTTTTACATCATACATACATAAATATTTTTGCAGTGATATAATTTTTGAAATATAATTTATCTTAATTAAATTAATAAACACAATTCAATTTAAGATATAAGACATTTATCTGAGGAAGAAAGTTACCTATAGTTAGTTTTAAGTAATTTTGAACGATAAAGGAAGGCTACTTTGGTTAAAGAAAGTTGTACCTTGAGGATATTGATTATATTAAAAATCAGCAAAGCTATCACTGTGGACAGGAGTTCACATTATGAAAAAAGCACCGAGCGATTGCATTACTTATAAAACTGCAAAATTGGCAATCTGATACGATCGTCCAATACTGCTATAATTATTTATTTGTAAGTCTTTTGAAAATTCGAATTTAATATTAACTAAATCTTACACATCATTATTACATATGGTGGTTTTTAGAATTTTGTAGTTGTTGCAATAATAATATTTTAAAAGATTTGACATTTTTTTGTCAGTTTCTTTTAGTTAAATAACATGTAAAGCTAAAACATTAGTCTCCAGAAATCCAACGTGTAGTTGTTTATCGTCAGAAAATGTAATTTAGGTTATTGTGGAGGTTGAATGTGCGATCGTCAAATCTCGTTATAAGTTACTATATTAACATTTTTAAATTCGAAAAGGAAGCCTAATAAAAATTCAAAATATTTCACCTACAGGTGATACATCCTATGTCTCCTGGCAGAGAGCATCGATTAGCCAGAAGCGAAATTTAACAGAATCCTGATGCATACCCCACACGAGGCATATAGACAGGTGATTACCATTTTCGTAATTTTCGGTAAAAAGGCTTTTAATTTGATGGGAAAACATAAAGAAGTTGACCAGGACCCAAAAAGGCCTCACGGGGACTTCATATGTACACACGTACGTTGGTTGCCCCAGGACAAATTCCAGCGCCACAATGCCATCAACAGCACCAGCACCAGCAGCTTACCAATACCAATAGCAATAGCAATACCAATACCACCCCTCAACCACCCCTGGGTTGGGGCAGTGGCAGTGGCAGTGGCAGTGGCTGTGCTGGCTCTCGTTCAGGATATGCAGATAACTGTAAATAACCGATTATATGCACATATATTTCCGCACCTATGTACCGTACACATTTTTATGTATGCAAGTATTTCGCGGCACATATGTATAGGGCAGAGTTTAAGCCCGTTGTCGTTGTTGTTGCTTAATTTACAGCCAGCCTTATGTCACTTTTTGGTGCATTACACTTTTTCATTATCGCGCAGCAGCACCCAAAAACAGAGAGAGAGCGAAAGGAATTGAGCCCCACAGCTCTATCCCGCTCTCTCCGTGTCGGCTGGCTATGGCTGTCTCGCTCTGCTCGAGTCCGAGGAGAAGTGTAAGAGGAGCAAGAGCGCACATCAAAGGGAAATGAGTTTTCATTTAGTCTCACACAAAAGCGGAAATGAATCGAAATAAATAAATAAATGGCACCTGTCCCTGGCTACCGAGCACTCGGCCACCCACACCACACCCTCTCTTACTACATACATACGATCCCCCTTCAGCCCCTTTCCAGCCCACATCTCGCGTACTTCCCATGAGAAATTTTCCGCATGCGCAGTGAGAGACGGCGGAAGAATGCAGCAGCAGCAATCGGCTGTCTCGCTCTGGCACGGCGTGCATTCAACCCGACAACGCACCTGAGCAGGCCCTGCACACACCACTACCTACCGCCTACCGACAATGGCCCACCGCCCACCGCCCACCGCCCACCGCCCACTGCTACCCATTGCAATCAGCCCAGTTCGAGGCGTTCTCATCCCCGCACTGCATTCCTCTTCGACGTGTGTTCCTTTTGCCCCTTTTGCCTCTTTTGCAGCGGAAAGCCGAACTGAACGCGCTTCTTGTTTGTTTTTCCCGGCGACAAGCCCCCGGTTGCACCCACTCGCCATCCGTTCTGTTGTGCTTTGGCCTTATCAAAGTTTGGCGCTCTCTGGCGCGCTTTCTAGTCGCCGTCTCCCCCTCAACACCCCCCCTCCATCCACACCTTGTGCTTCGTGCGGCGTTCTGTATTTTGTTTAGATTTTTGTTGTTTTGCCATTTTGCCGTTTGGCCGTTTTTACTTTGACTTTCATTCAACAGTCTTCGTCGCGTCGGGAGTCGCCTCTTCGCGACACAGAAACGATGCCCGATGCCACACAGCTAGAAAATAGATCACAAAAGTGTTAAAAAAAAAAACATCGTCGAGGTCGGGAAACACAGGCGACCACGCACACATCTCTAATGAAAATTAAAGAGAACCGAAGACTTTCAGGGGATGCTGCAAGGAATTTCAGCGAGCCGCTGTTTAAAGATAATTTCACCATTTTAACGGCCTATCGAGGATATGTTTGATATTGACATGATTGTCAGCTAGTTATCGGGGGCGATATTTCTTCACTTTAGATTCACATGAGCAACGAAGAGGGTTTCCTTACTAACCCAGCGTAAAATATTATTTTCGAAAATAATTCAAGTGTCTTTCGTTTAAAGCTTTTTTGTTTGGCATACCATGACTGTTAGTTATCCTATTTCACGTAATAATAATCCGAAGCAATGGCAAACACACCTCTGTAGGGCATTACGATTCAGAAGAATTTGCAATCATTTTATTTTTGTCGAAAAAAGCGAACCAATTTTTGTTTGTTTCGAACGCGAGAGCGGAGTTTTCTAAACTAATTTTGTTAATCAGATGCATCGGCCAGCGCAGCTAACTAGCGTCAAAAACAAAACCGCAAGCACCAGACGCAACAACAACAGCGAAAACGCCGACGCCAGCGTAATAGAGCAATAGGGAGGGCGGTGGGCGGTGAAAGGAAGCTCGCTGCGGCTTAGGGCCGTAATAGGGGTAGTATTTGCATAATTTACATCAAAACACACACCCCCGTTTGGCAGGGGCCGAGGCATTTACTTGGCCTTTTCGGGGCTGGACACAGGATGCGCTTAGATTTAGACTGGACAAGCACTGGCGCGCAGATAGAAACACACTCTCACGGGAGTCGGTGCACTCACTCATGTTAAGGGGACTTTCCCTTTCAATAGAAAATCAGGAGAATTTTCCAACACAGAATCAAGTGGCGAGCCAAAGTTGTAATGTTGTACTAAATCAGGCAAAATAAAACTTATGCGACTAAACCGAAAATTTTGAATGTGTGTTGCTGTTGACAAAGCATTTTCGAAACTGATTTTGCCCCGGCACGACGCACTGCCGCATTTGTCGCTGCCCAGCAACAAAACTGCAGCCAGAAAAAACTCATTACAAGAGTCGCTCACTGCCGCCGCAGTCAGCGCCCAGCCACAAATGTGGGTCGGGGCTGGGGATTGGGCCACGCACGTCACTAATTAGCAGTCCTATTATTGCGAATTTCGACCACCCCGCTGCACTTTTGCCATCGCCCAGTGGGTGTCGATTGGGTTTGGTGTATTTCTCTCTCTCTTCACATTTTAATTTATTCGATTATTTTGATGTTTGCGCATCGCCATCAACATAATCAGCAACAGCAGCCTGCGTCGACTGCGACAGCAGCAGCAGCAGCAGCAGCAGCAGCGCATTATTATTATTGCATACCCAGACCCTGTGCCTGCCTCCAGCCCACAAAGTAGCCCGTCCATTGTCCATTGTCCATGGCATTCGGGATGCGGATCTCCCACTGCGGCTCCGCCTGCCGTTTCATTCGCCACA